TGATCTGTTTAGTAATACTGCCCAGGTTTGATTGTAATACTCGTGCCCATTTTTGCTGGCAGCACAATAATAATAATAATAAAAACAAGAATAAATGGGCGATCCCTATTATGAACCACCACCGTTCATGGAAGGCTTGAAGATATCATTACTATGTATATGCGCAATAAGACGACGTTTACAAAAAAAAGTAACTTACTCTTGCCTAAAAGCACAGATGCATTTTTTATAATGTTTCTAAATACTAAGAATATTACCAATTGTTTTGTTTTTTTTTAATTTCGCGCAAAGGTACACGAGGGCTATCTGCGCTAGCCATCCCTAATTTAGCAGTGTAAGACAGCTAGTCATCACCACCCACCGTCAACTCTTGGGTTACTCTTTTACCAACGAATAGTGCGACTGACCGTCACATTATAACGCTGAAAGCCGAGCATGTTTGGTGAGACGGGGATTCGAACCCGCGACCCTCAGAATGCGAGTCGAGCGCCCTAACCACCTGGCCATGCCGGGACTAATATTACCAATCCACAATAGTTCCTGTTAAGACATTCCAGTTTAATTGGTTTAATAAAAGATGAGTTGCGACAGAATATTTTAAGAACTAAAACTTCTGGATTTTCCTCACGTTAACACCAATATTGTCGGATGAGTTAGCTATTGCACACAGAATTACATAAAATATTATACACCAATTTCTTTGTTGTTAAAATTGCATATTCCATATGATTACATTCTAATAATATGAAACTACTGTAGTACATTTCTTTTCAGGTAAAGTAACTTTAAAAATTTGGTCCCCTTAAATGTACTCTATCTAACAGTTTACTATTATTTCCTATTTTAAGAGTTGCAAAGCACATTAATCGAAAGTCGTCACAATCACCAGATGTGTTTTATTACGACGCACACAAACCAACTACAGTACTGTTCACAAAAGTAAATCATTAATTAAAAAAACTACAGCCAATCAACTTTTACACTGGAAACTTCCAGAAGTAAAATTACACATAAAGGTTCTAACTTGCAGATACTGAGGACTGAAAACGAAGTTATCAACTGACCATAGTACGAGCTTTTTAAATAATGGAGATACTAGAATTTACACTAATAAAAGGTGAAGAAAACGAAGTGCTAAATTGAGTCAGTAATGTGGTAACTTCACACTCCTTTTCGTGAAGAAAGTTTGACTTTAATTTAATGACTTGATTTCATATCATTTACTACTGATGGGGCCTTATACTGCATCACATTGAATAATTTTTTTGTCTAGTAAATAATCAACCAAAATATTTGTGAAATACACAGGCGATCCCCAACAGTAATTAGTTGGATCAATTGTAATGTTTCCATTTCTTGGTGCAACTCTATAACAGATGAGTTCAGGGACCCACGTTCAATTTGGTGCAAAAATAAAGTTTTTCAAAAGCAGGCAGTGATTGGGATAACTAATCCCAGTTTTTGTAAAATTTCAGTATCTTAGAAGTCAAAATCACCAGTTGATGTTGAAAATAGTTACTTCAACTATCAGTCTCACCTTGAAGTGGTACCAACAAAATATTTAAGTAGAATGAAACATTTTTTGGTATATTACCAAAAAAGTGCTTAACAAGTAAAACAATCATTAAGCTATCGATCATAAAATGGATACTACAATGAATTCCTTGTGGATTACTTGGAATAATTTTGGGAAATATACAGCCACATTGACGGACTTGCAGAGAAAAGTAGGATCAAATTGAGTGCGCAATAGTCACACAAACGTACACATTTATAAATCGTTTGTAACATGCAAACCTAGGAGTTCACATTCGACGACTAAACCCATAACGTATCTAATAAGGCATAAATTTGAATCAATATCAGCCCAAATATAAGTCGTAGATAATGTAATATAATGGAGCTCTATTAGCCTTTCATTTAGATGTTTATATACCCAACTTAATTAAAGCCTTGTTCTTAGTACTCTTGGCTATTAAGTCAGTAACACTAACTCACAAATTTTGAAGATGTACATTTTATTACAGTTACACTGAAGTACGAATTAGTTGTGTAAGCTGTCATTTATACTTGAACAAGTAGTTTCGACTAAACAGTTGCATCAATATATATAATATGCTGTTCCTTTAGATTACATGATCTAATTAACATTTCTTTTATTCTTGTATTTGTTGACTCTTCTGACATAGGAAAAATTACATTCATGTTAAGAAAACATAGATTCAAGAAATCAATTTAACACGAAGATATGAAACCCTATAACCCGAGTGCTCTTGAAAGGTGGACCTTTCTTCTTCAATGTGCCCCTGACAAAAAGTATGTTTAGATGTTTTTAACAATGTAACACCATAAGACCTTCAAATCATTACCTCAGAGAGAGAGTCTCGTCTTTCAAAAAAAACAAAAAAAACTCTGAAACTATAAAAATTTTGTCAAAAGTTCAAAAAGTCCTGAAATTCTTGAGACTTCTGTGAGCATGTATCTGAATTCTGGTGTGATGTGAAGGAGTTAAAATAAGAGACCTTACTTAAAGATACACTGGTGAGTCTAGCATAGGGTGTAGCTGGTGTTTTTCCCATCCCCCACTCTCTTTTGGGAGAAGAAGGAAAAAAATTGTTGTTCTGGAACCACTTTCTATAATCTCTTGTCACTTAAAATCGCTGGCTGCCTCTCTCTTCTGAAAATCCTTGACCCAACAGTGACGTATGTGCTGTTTCTGATTGTTCAGTTATGAAAGATAATTAAGTTACATTCGATATAAGATGACATCTTTTTGAAAGCATCTAATAACAAAATCATATAACCTAAATTAAAACCAACTTCATTTTGCACAGTATCAATTAAAAACTGACAGTAGATAAAATAAAGTTAACACATTTGACTTTTTATATATACACACACACATATTTATGAAAGGTAATTAAGAATAACATTAAGTAGCAAAAAAAAATAAAGCTTGATTTTTTGTTTTAGAATTTTCCACACAAAAGCTATTTGAGCACAGCCATTTCTGATTTCTAGAGAAAAAGCTGTTAGTCAACAGCACCCACCACCACCAACTGTTGTGTAGTTGGGATTTGACGAACACTTTTATAGCACATCCACAATCCCAGAAAGTAGATGTTTTACAAGTCATGAACCATGAATCATTAGATTCAGTCCAGTCACGTTAATGCTAACATCCCTGAATGAGAGTAAGTTGCCATTCAAATGAAAAGAGTTTTCTCTTTCTTTTCTAAACTTCAGAAACATATATAGGTTTTGTTAATAGGTTAAATTAAAGTGGGAAGTAAATAATGTTAATAATTCCTTCAATAATGGTTACATTCATATTCAAAAAGGTTCAATTTCATTTCAAAAACAAGTTCTAGATGTAAGCAGAAGTCATTCATGAGCCAAGAAGAAAATACAATACCTGGTTTTATAATTAAATGTCACAATTTTAGTTTTAAACACAAAACTGTGAAGATGCGTGTTCTGAGAACTAAAAACAGAAAATTTTCACTGAACTTTGATCGAAATATTGAGTTAAAGAATGTTGTGGTGTTTAATGATATGCACAACAGCATTTGATTGTCTAAAATAACTGGAGTAAACTTTTGAATCTGAGTTAAGTTCACACACTTTTCAGGTGTAATTATTGAAAATTATAAAATTCCTGTGATGTTTAAGTTACTGTAAAGAAATCACCAGCATTACAACTTTTGCAAAATTCATAATAACACAATTGAATAAACTTACACTGCTATCTGAATTATTAAATAGTAATGTCACGAATTCCTTTTAAAAAATTATCTTCAACTCTGAATGTATTACAAATCTTTATAATATTGCAAATATGTTAATAATACAAAGTTTTTTTCATATTCAGCTTTTAAGTTAAATTTCAGTCAAATTTAATGTGTCACAGAATCCAATAAGGAGATTTTTATCCAAATAACTGACAACTTGAAATATGTTGTTTAACTTGTGTTTTAAACACTGTCAAAACCTTAAAAGGAATGAGCAGAGTAAAAAAAAACAACCAATATTGCATACAACTTGTTTAGCTTTCAACAAGCATAATAATTTTGACATGTTAATAGGCCTGATTTCTCTTTCCCCATGATAATATTTACGTGTCTGTTTTTCCATACAATAAGTTCTATTTCTGTTGTACAATATAATATGTGCAGAACATCACACACGGAAAATTGAAATTGATATATAGTTCCTTTAACAATAAGTGAAAACTATGACAAATAATCGGTTTTGATAATTATTTTAAAACTTGGTTGATGTTTCCAGCTTGATCACCCCGAACATCCTCTGCAACCACAGTGGACACATTCTACAATTTTACCCTGAAAAATTAAAAGTAAGTAATAACTGGAATGGATGATAAACAGTCATATTAATACATATATATATAACATTCAAATTTCTACACCTTAATACAATTACAATAATACGACAAAGAAATTCAACAAGATAAGAGGGAGATAAAATATAAACTTTTACTAAAAAACTTTTGATATTAATTTAAGCAGCTCCAAAGGTTATGCAAATGAAATATAAAAACTGTAAGATTGACTCTGTAAAGGCATCGGAAACTTACGGACAGATCTTTACTAGAACTACTTTTTGTTAAAAACTGATTTTGTTTTGTATACAACAGGCTTTTAATATTTACTAAAAGCTTGCCAAATTTTTTGAAAAGACACTTAGTACCAACACTGTTCTGATAAGGCTATTCCATTTACACATAGAAAATCCATTGCTGAAATTTTAGTAGCAAAATTATTAAAAGTGTTTAATTACCATACAGGTTAAGAAAAAATAATCTTCAATCCTCTTCTCAATTAATTTGCATACATTTTTGTATAAGCATGAATGAAATTAGTTCATGAAGAAAAGTTACATGGGTACGTACCTCTTCAAGCTTGCTTTTGGGAACCCGGCAGATACAGTTTGTGCCAAAGTTTGTGTCCCTTGTCTGGATGCATCTTAGACAACAAAGATTTTCATATCCTTGCTTTTTCCACTTTGCTATGAGGTTCTTGTCAGCAATCCCTTCTTTCAAACAGTACTCATAAAGTTCTAAAGGAGATAAAGAGTAATAACTAATAAATAATATTTCAGATGATGTTATTTGATGTTCATAACATTTTGCTTGTTTTGGTACTAACAGATGACTCAACTGGAGTTACATAAACAATTAAATTGTAAAACCTCAGTTGTTTTAATTTCCATGAATTAAAACATGTATCTTATAGTAATCACAATTTAACCCACATCTAGTCTATCTAGTCTACGTAACTTGTATTTACATAGAAGTAATGATCTTCTAAAGTTTTGACCTTGACTTTAATGCTAAACCTAAGTAGTATTTGAAACCTAAGACAACAAATCAGCTCTTTGATAGATTGTTTAGGCAGAATATTCATGATGAGTATACTGAAATGGATGGCAACTGCCTGTTGTAAAAAATAAATAAGTGTTCTGGAAGACTTTTGAAATGTCATCCTTTACATTTGTGTTTTTTACAACAGGCAGATTCTGTCCATTCCAGTATAGTCCTTAACAAATCAGTGTTAAATGCTGAAAAGTTATTAACTAATTAAAATGTTTCCATTAAACATGCTGTTTTATAAAACAGTACATACAGCCCTAAACTTCAACCATTACATGCTGGAACATAATTAGTAGTTGATGATTCTCCTTTACTATCAATTAAAAATGTTTAAAGAAAAATTGGAAAGAAGTAAAAAAAACATTATTGAGTTTTTGTTATGAAAGCAAAAGATTAGGCTAACTAGATGTCTTGTGGAATCACAAATAAATCACTCAAACTTTCAACACTTCTTAAAAACCCAACTAATGAAACCCTCAACTGTATAATTAATAAAAATCCAGATTTTCTCTAAAAGTACCTAAAAAAATACAATGATATCATCATAGTATTTATTATCTAATCTAAAAACACCATACACAAATAAAAAAAGAAACTCAATAACCACTACAGGTTAATGTTTCATAGCTTTTAACTAATTTTATTTAAGAAAACCTAACGATTCGTTTTAGCCTGTATTCATCATTTTTTGCTAATAGATCAGTTTGTTCATATGATTAAGGTGTGTTTGAAAAATGTCCACATGTAGCAACAATCTAGGACGGAGCCTCACTATATCAGGAGTATATTGCTGCTTGAAAAATTGCATCTTGCATGTCCCAGCTTTTATTTGGTTGGGTATATCTTCTTTGCAAAAACAGGGTGGGACAAATGTTTATCTTCTAATATTGGAGCTTAAATCTGTGTATTGTCTTTGAACTTCTGATACAAAACACGTCATGATATTTACCACATTTCTTATCTTATTCATTAAATGAATAAACATTTATTTAAGATAACAGTTTTTTGTCAAATTGTGTAAAAAAATAAATAAAACACTAACAACTTACAAAAAATAATATTCATTAATTCTTACATGACTTCAATGCAAAGTTTCTCCACCTTCTTGATTTGTGAATAGCTGGAGTATTGATTATTGTGTAATCATTTTACATATTTGTCATATACTGTCTTTTCAACTCGTTCACAATTCCTTGCTTAAGTGGTCCTGCCCAAAATTATCTGTTAATTCATAACTCAAACTTGGGCTATTTATAACAATTAGTCAGCTTAAACATTTGAAGAAATGTAATTTGGAACCAGATTATTAGAACACATCATAATACATCCAAATTTTGAAACCTTATATAACAACATAATGAACCGTAACATCTTTATCTGACATTATAATAAGTCCTTAAAGACAGGAGGTACCAATGGTTTAATGCAGTTGTTTATTACTTTAAGGTTTAAAAAGTTGTTTCAAAGTCTAGTTTGGCTCATGTAAAAAATCAACCCACTAATTTTCACTTACCACAGTTTTGTTGCTATTTTAATTTTATTCATTAACAGTCTAGTATTTCTCTAAACAATTGGGGTATCTCAACTGTGTTTACATACATCAAGATTAATGCTTATTAAAAACATAAAAATATAGGAAGACAACAGACAATTATAAACTAGTCTAGCACTAACTAATTAGAAACAATTAAAACCACAACCATTTTGTTTTAAATGTTAAAAGAATAATTTACTAAAATACTTAAGCATCTTCCTTCATAAAGTTTGGAATTCCAATTACCCTAAGCTTAAATTTCAAAGTCTTCCAGACATTTTTTTTCGGGGGGACAAAGAATTGAAGGAAAGAAAAAGGGGACACAAAAATGTAGATTACCAGTATTATCATTTTACCTTTTCCATTATAGCACAGCTATACAGAGGATTGCACTTATTGGTAAGACTGGTGAATTTTTTCTATGTTTTCTAAACCATTCAGTAAATTTCAGGTTAACATACTATAGATAGATTTGAACCTAATCAAACTGTTTTGATTAATAGCCTACATAATATTGTACAACGCAGGCATACAATGCATTTTCTACCTCCTCATTGTTTAAAATTTCAATTATTCTAGGCGTGTGAAGTTTGCCTAACATGCGGTTAAGATGTTGATTTCGTTCATTCCCTTGAGATCACACCTGTTCTGCCCATAATTGCTATAATTGTAATGCTACACATTATAGTAAAATGTAGTCTTGAATGAGTAGAACCAGCCTGCTTAATTCAG